TATAGCTCATGCCATTAACGTTCTTGGAGTGACATAAACTTCAATTCTATTTATAGCTCATGCCATCTTCACCTATTTAGAGCTTATGTCATCTTCACCTAAATAATCTCTTAACTTAAATCCAATGAAACAAGCCATTATACCTTGATAAACATAACTAATCTGTGATTTATTAATCGTGTGCTGAAAGATTAGAGAAACAATCTTTAATAATGAAGATCACCTAAATAATCTCTTAACTTAAATCTAATGAAACAAGCCATTATACCTTGATAAACATAACTAATCTGTGATTTATTAATCGTGTGCTAAAAGATTAGAGGAACAATCTTTAATACTAAAGATCAGGATCAAACGAATAAGATATGAAGTTGATTTAGAAGAATGAAACTTACAGAATTCGTAAAACAAGCAAGGAGATGAACACTTGGAACTAATGAAATATCTCTGACTGTAAAATTTGACACCATGGCGGAAACTTCCATATATGTCGAACGTGTAACCGTCAGAATCGAAAACTAGCTAGTGCAGATCATTTGTAAACATAATCATAAAACTAATGAGAGATACAAATCACAAAATCATGTCAAATCGTTGAAGTTTCCTAGAAATATCGATATGCAAAGCAACTACAAAAAGCCTCAATTAACCCTAAATCTCAAATTTCATACTACCTACTCTAACAAAATAAGAAAAAAAAAGAGAAACAAGGAAAAGGCTAGAAAGATGCTTGCCAATTTGCCTAGTAATAGGTCAGAACACTAACCCAAGAAAAATTCCAAATCAAATGTCCTTCTCTCTTCAACTGTAACTGATGCTTTCTCTCCTTCTTTTTCTTCTCCTTTTTTTTCCGGATGGGTGTAGAGAATCGGTAGAGAAAAGAAAGGGTTTTGAAGGAGAGTTCATGAAATAGAGATAAGATTAGTTAGAGATTTCCCAAGATTTGAGGGATTTAGTTTCCGATTTGTTTTTCTTTCCCGGTAGTTTCCCCACTTCATGAGGTATTCCCGCAATAGAGGATTTGGGCAGTTACTTTTGGGGAGCTTGGGTTTTTCTTGTTTTTTCTTTTTTTTTTCTTTTTTTTCTTCCTTTAAAGCTATCTGGGCCTTTCAAAATTTTTTTTAGTAAGTAGATGGGCCTAGGAATCAAGCTTGCCATAAGAAAAATAATTGTGGGCCTTGGCTTAAGTAGGCTATATATGTATGTATGTATGTATGTATGTAGTATATGTATTGTTATAAATAGCAGTAAATAGCCCCGCAATAACGGTGCTAATAGCGTTAGCGGTCCCTTCCCACGACGCTATCGCCCGCTACGCTATCGCACAATAACGATGATATATTACGGAATATGTTTGTTCGCAAAAGCGGACAATAGTGTGTCATAACGGTAAATAGTGAGCGATTGCATTCGAAATTTGCTTTTTGACTGTTATTTAAAAGTGGTTTGAGGCTTATTTTTTTAATTAAACTCAATCATTGACCATTGCATTCCACCGTCTCTAGTGATTTTCAGCATACTCCTACCACCTCTCAGAGTCTCTGGCACCTACCTTGATACTTCCTCTAACCTCCTTCACCGTGAGCTCCTCTTAGGACAGTCCTGTCACCGCTAAGCTCTTCTTCTCGAAGACGACGACTTTTTGACTCCTCCAGTCATCTTCGGTATTACGTGATGGTTACATGTCTATTTCATGTTTAGGATCTCTTTAAATCATCCAATATGTACTTTTAGATTTTTTAGATTTTTTTTATATTTATATATATCTGAATTAGACCGCTATTTGACTTTGCGCTTTTTATCGCTATTTTGTCGCAATAGCCCGAAATAGCCTTAGCGATGCCTCACCGCTACGCGACGCTATCCGCTATCGATAACCTTGTGTATATGTATATGTATACACACATACACACATGTATATGTCTGTATCATACTCCCTTTAAAAGCATGAGTTTAGGAAAAACTTTCCACGGTCAATATTACACTTTACTATTTTGAATATTTTATTTAAGTTTTAATCTAATCTAATCATACTTATATCCTAACCTAATTCCCCATGGACAAACTATATCTCAGCAATTTAAAAAATAAATAAATAAAATACATGAAACAATTTCACGATATTAGTTTATTAAGGTAAGGAAATCATACATAACTAACATACTTTAATGCATGAAGTATTAAAAAATCAAAAATTTTCAAAAATTGCACAAAATACCCTTTAAAGTTTAAAATTACACAAAAACATTAACATTTCAAAACTTAAAATAACAAACATGATATATGGAATCTTACTTGGCTAACATACTTTAATGCATGAAGCGTTATGAAAAAGCTAAAAAGTTCCAAAATTTACACAAAATATCCTCAAAAGTTTAAAATTACACAAAACACTGTGACATTTAAAAACTTTAAATGATAAACATGAAATTTGGATATTAACAGCAACCTTCACCGAGTTTAAAATTTGCAATAAACACCCTTAATATTTGAAAATTGTAGAAACATCCTCAAAAGTTTAAATTACAAAAAAGTCTTGTGCTTTTCTGTCAAATTCCTACAGAATATATCATCTTTTATTTTCTTCTAAGGCTACTCTCTTAGTTGAGGTGAGTGGTGTAGGGCTGCTTCTTGGTTGCATGATATTAAACTGTATCCCGAAAAAAAAGGGTGAATCTCCTACAAAGCCTGGCTTTTGAAGATTTGTGCATAATTTTCTGCTAGGAATTATGGACCAGCTTAGATAGTTGTTTTAAGGTTGAAACTGGTTACAAATTTGACTCGATTCCATGGAGACTTGTGCTCTGAATGGACCTCATTTTGTGGTATAGGCTAGCTTTTTCTGACAAGAGGCTCCTTTCTGTAAATAATAAACCTTTCCTGTGTTCTTAAGTTACTAATTGTAACGTACAAACTTTGTTTCATATGTTCCCCAATGGCTTGTTAGGTGCACTCTCTAGGCACTAGTATGCATGTCTTAGAAAACTCTTCAATATGTTCCCCAATGGCTTGTTAGGTGCACTCTCTAGGCACTAGTATGCATGTCTTAGAAAACTCTTCAATATGCCTCTTTTGCTAATCCTCTTCAATAGTTATCGACATAAATATTGTACTTAAACTATCTCTAGATTATGGATATAGCTCGAATATTTGAAGTTTGCATTAGTTTTAAAGCTTAGTTAAACTTGTTATGTTTTTCCTGCTTGGGATTTATCCAGTTAGTAGACTCAAATATCTTTTCGTAAATACTTTGATAAAACTATTTTGGTCATGTTCCCAAGTAATTGACCCTTATGAGTGTAACATTACTGTTTTTTGTAGCATCTACGGCAATCATACTACCACGCTTGGTGCTTACTACTGCCCTCAACAATACAATTGTTAATTCATATGCCAACAATTATCCCTTCTATTATCTCTTTATTCATCTCATCTGATCCTTTATTACATGTCCATGCCCTTCTCTATTTTCATTTCTCATCGTCTCTTTTTAGCCCTCCTTCATTGGTCTTACAGCTAGGCATTGAGCTTGCAATGATGCGACTCTACCATAATTAAATCCTTCTCATCTCTCTCTCTCTCTCTCTCTCTCTCTCTCTCAATTTCCTAGTCCATTCTTCATTCGTTCGTATGTTTGAGTAACCATTGTCTTCTTCTAGCACAGTTTTCAGGAGAACTGATACCATAAAAGGACAGGTTAACATTGTTGTTCATGTTTGTATAACTTATAAGAAATTATATTATAATTTGTTACCATTTTCAAAAGTGTTGTATTTGAGCAAAAAGTTATGTTCAGAAAGTTTTGTTTATAGATTTTAATGAGTAGTGCTGTATACATTAATAAGGAAGCACTGTGAATGATGGATATAAGAGCAGCTGGTGAGATATTAGTAGTGCTGTATACAATTAGGAAGCACTGTGAATGATGGATATGAGTAACTGTAGTTTCTTTTACTATGTTTCTCCTTACTTTCTGATTTTATTTCTACAAGGAAAGCACCTGTACCTCCGCCAAGCTCCTATAGAGCATACACACGTGCACACACAAAAGAAAAAAAGGACCATAAACCAATCTTTCTGGAGTCAAAACATATGTGCATGGTTTTAAATATCGGCCGATAATCCGATATTATCGCCGAGTTATCGGATTTGGGAGCTTTCCGCTAGGATAAGTAGGATTTTTAATCGGTTATCGTTTTTATGAGTTTATTGACGAGTTATCGGCGATAAAGGCACTTATCCGCCGATTAGGGAGGCTGAAAATATCGGCTTTATCACGCGCTTTATCGGCGTGAGTTTTGAGTTGAATTGTTGGGTAATGGGCTATTACTTAGTGAGTTCTTAAACCCGACCCGACCTGACCCGCTTTTGACAATAAAATGAAGTTTCTAACTTCAAGTTCAGCCCTAATCCTTCGTGAATCTCTCTCCCTCTCTGTGCGGCTGTTCTCCGAGCCTCCGAGCCTCTTTGAACTCCATCGAGCTCAAGATCTATGTTCCCATCTAACTCCGTTGACCTCGTCGCTCGCCTCCCCGACCTCGAAGCTCACTTCGCTGACGTTTATATTTCAACAAGCATGGTTAGATTATATTTTTTTGGGTATTTCTAAGGCTTAGGTACAAATATTAACGTGAGGTTTTAATTATCTTTTTGGGTAATAAAAATGAAGTCTGAAACTGGTTTTGGAAGACTGGCGTGGCATAATCACTATCCTTTGAATCCCATGTATATTGGTGGGATTCTTTATTGTAGGGTGGTGGGGGAGAGGATGGTGGTGGGGGAGGTGGTAGCTAGGTAGGTCATATATAAAGTATGTGATAAGTAATTTTCTTAACATGATACTTTTGCTAAGCCTTCTTTATGAATTGTAATGCTGTGGTGCTTCATACTAATCTTTCTTTTCTTTTTACTGTAACAATTTGTTATGTTTCTGGCGCTGTGATTTAAATTCCTAGGGGATGATTCATTTTCTTTCTAATCTCTTTAATTTTCTTTTTCAGCGTCATGCAGATAGAATCAAGCGTGATAAAGCTCAAGCAAAGCGGGGTGATGATGTAGATCCGCAAGTTCGCCCCAACCATATAGTTCCCATTAATCGTTATCAGGGTTCAAGACTTGCTTCTGGCGCTTCTCCCTCACCTTATCAACAAAATGGATCTTCTGTCAGAAAAGACAACCAAATTGGACAAGCTACGACTGCAATGTCTGGACTAGACATTAAGGCCAAAGAAAATAGGAAAAAGAGCAGCAAGAAAACAAATTCCCGAGCGCAAAAAGTTGCACGGATATCTTCTGAAGGTGCATCAGTGGGTGCTGCTATTGTCGAGGCTGAGAATATTCTGGAAATAGAAGTAATTTTATCTTTCTAGAAGAGGGAACATTTAAATTTGATTGATTGATTTCTTCAGTTTCGTGTAGCATTCTTCAGGTTTATAATCATTTGTGTATGTCATCCAAGTTTTTTGAGGTTGTGATTATAATTCTTTCTTCCATCTTCCAGGAAAGGGAAAATGAAGATGTACAGGAAAATAAAGAGGACCTGAAAGCAAAGCTCAAGGAAGTACTCCGAGAGAAGTCTGATCTTTTCAAGTCTGAGAATCCAGAAGAAGATAAGGTTTGCAATTTAACTGTATACTTTGGCTAGATTAATGCTTCTCCTTTATGTAGAAAATGGTAGCATGTCTATTGTATTCACATTATGCTGATCTATATTATAGATGAAATTAATTATCTGTTAACTGTTGGATTTTAGTCATCTACTTACCATGTATCTCTCTTTCTAAATACACACATACATTTTTTACTCTTCTGAGCCACGGGCTCTTATTTACTTTACTGGGGACAGTCAAGTCATAAACTGATGGTTTTATTATGGGCTATGTTCTTACTATAAGTCTATGCAGTATTAACATATTTAAGACCAATTCTGTTGCATATGGATTTTACTGTCAGTGTGAAGGAGCTATTCCTTTGGAAAAACATTGTCATTATTGCTTACACATGTTGCACACATACTGTCAGGTTAAACTGGGAGAGCCAGGATGGAAACAGAGGTACTATGAAGAAAAGTTTGCTGCAGCCTCTCCTGAAGAAATAGAATCAACTCGGAGAGATGTTGTAAGTCATTTACAAAGATCTTAAACATTTCTTCTGTCTTGTTTGTTTTCCATTTTGTCTACCTTATTTTTTTGGTATTTTAAACTAGTTATAAGTTTTGTCTGCTCTTTACTTATTCAAGGAAGTTTTTAATGGAGGCATTAGCTATCATTCTCACTTAGTTGGAATATATTTGACCTAATACTGAAATGTAAATCATCTGTTGCTCATGTCGGTATTAATCTAACTTGTTTAACTTGATTTTTGTACAATTGGGGAATATTGTTCAATAAGAAATTCTTTTCTTGCAAGCATATCTTGCTGCTCTTTCCTTGTCGTGTAACTTAAAATGTATTTGACCTAATGTTTTTAGTGAAAACTGTCTTGCTCATGACTGTATTAATCAAATTTGATTAACTTCATTTTTGTACGATTGGAAAATGTTGCTCAATTGGTAATTCTTGTCTGCAAGCATATCTTATTCTTTTTCTTGTCGTGTAACTTCAAATTATTAAGTACCATTTTGTGAAATCATTTGATAGACTAAATCTAGTGTTTCATGTTTCATTAGGTTTTGAAGTATACAGAAGGCTTATGTTGGGTTATGCACTATTACTATGAAGGTGTCTGTTCATGGCAATGGTGAGTTTCTTTCTTCTCTCTGTTTCAATCTACAAATCCACATAGGCGTTCTTGATGTTTGGAACGTGCATGGTTTATATTGATAAATCTGTAGAACGCTAAATTGCCTTATGCAACGTAACTATGGTGCAGATTGCCAATTTCGATCTATGAATAACTCTTTGTTTCTTGTTTTTATTATGTTCATGGTAACCTTGCTCTGTAGGGAAGAAATCTAAACATGTAAAAACTGGAAATAAAGCATCTGACAAAATTGAAAATCTCAGTATTACATCATCATGTCTGCTATAAGTCTAGATCGAAGTAGGCTATATAATAGTATGATCCAATTTTTGAGTTTATGCACACTCTTTATTATCTTGAAGTCAAAGGGCTACAATGGTTATATTTAGTTATGAGCTATGATGCACGGATACGGATACGGGACACAGATACGACACGGACACGGATACAGGAAAATCCAAAAAAAAGGATACGGGGATACGACAGAGATTTTTTTTTTAAAGTTATTATTATATATAGAAAAATTTATAAAATTTAACTAACAATCTAAAATATGAATCTATCACAAAATAACAATCTAAAATATATTATTTGTAACTTTCTCCATCAGATTTATGATAATAATATGACGTTGGGCTGCTGCTCGAACTCAAAAACCAGAGGAGATGATGATGACAGTGATGGTGATTGTGCTGGACGAGGAGGAGGAATGAAGAGTGGACTTGAGGAGTCGGAGGAAGGAGGAGTCGGTCGGCGGGATCGGGTCGGAACAGCGAAGCGGTCGGCGGGATCGGGTCGGAACAACGGAGGTGATCGAATCGAATGGGAGTGAGCTGATAGATTGAGAGAGAGGATTAGAGTTAGGGTTAGGGTTTTTTCTTTTGTTTGAGTCAGCTGAGGATCGAATCGAACGTGAGATTTGAGAAATAAGGATGGGTTTTTTAATCGAACGGTTCGGGTTGGATTTTAACAACCAAACCCACAACCCGAATGAATCGGCCTTCGGCGAATCCGAGCCGTGTCCGAGCTCCTTTATCTGTGTCCGAGCCTAATTTGACCGTTGACCCGTGTCAGACACGGATTGACCGTGTCCGACACGTGTCGTGCTCGTGTCGTGACAAATCCGTGTCCGATTCGAGTCGGACACGGATTCGTGACCTCCGGGGGCGAATCCGTGCTTCAGAGGTTGTGAGTGCTCTTGGATAGGGTTTGATAAATCTTAAAATCAATTCCGCCATTTCCTTCGGTTTCCTTTTCTTCTCCTTCATTTTAGACTGCTGAGAAGATTAGCGAACTGGTGCATTTTTATTTCATTCCTCAGTTTTTATCTGTAAGTTACATGAAAATAAACTATAGGTAAGTAAATGTCATTTCGTTTTTTAAAATGAATCTTCTGCTTTGCTGATGATATCCTTTATTATACTCAGGTTTTACCCCTATCATTATGCACCTTTTGCTTCTGACCTGAAGCTGATGATATCCTTTATTATACTCAGGTTTTACCCCTATCATTATGCACCTTTTGCTTCTGACCTGAAGGGTTTGAGTCAGTTGGAAATTAGCTTCGAACTTGGTTCACCTTTTAAACCATTCAGTCAGTTAATGGGTGTTTTTCCTGCTGCAAGGTGACATTTGATAATTTTCTTTTGATACACACGCACACATGTGCATTGATTACTAATTAGTTGGGGCATTTGCAGTTCCCATGCACTTCCTATCCATTACAGGAAATTGATGACCGATCCAAACTCGCCTATTATTGATTTCTATCCAACTGGTATATTTTGTAGGTCATGTGTATTGATTTTTCCTCTTATCTGCTCTTCTAGAGCCTAACTCTTTTGCTTTATTATCAGACTTTGAGGTGGACATGAATGGGAAGAGGTTTGCTTGGCAGGTAAGGTTTTCTTACTTCCTGCATGTAGAGGTTCTTTCTTTTTTCGTGATCATTTGATTGAGTTGTTACTCTTTAACTTGAAGGGTATTGCGAAACTACCTTTTATTGACGAGGGTCGCCTACTTGATGAGATCAAAAAATTAGAGCATACTTTAACGGTATGTTACTTACCCAGTGATCTAACTGCAAGCACGTACTTTATAACGTTCTCAAATTTCACTGCCTAAACCATTTTGCATTCGATACAGGAAGAAGAGGCACGGCGAAACAGTGTGTTGTTTGACATGCTTTTTATTAACTTATGTCACCCTCTTTCGCCTTGTATATTTTCTCTCAACAACCAATTCTCGCAACTTTCAGACAAAGAAAGAGACAACATTAAAGTGAAAATTGATCCTGTTTCCAGGTATGCATATCATACTTAACCTTGTACATAATCAGAAGTGTTGCCTATGCTCTATTTTGTCTTTTGAATAGTGCTTCATGCAGTCTAATTGGAATAAATCTCATGATCACTTTTGCATTGATTGATAAAATCAGCGTCGTATCCTTAATCTGCACCAAATTCTCTCCAATTAAGTTAACATCATTTAGTTCTTACCCTCTTCGTATTAATCCTTCTCTTCCATCCCTTTATACAAATGTGTTTACCATCGGTCTGTTGTGTGGTCAAGCTCTCTCCTAGCTCGCGTGTGTATAGAGGAGGAATAATACCACACATACATATTGTAGCCTATCTATAAAATGTCGTAAGAAATGATAACTCCCATTGAAAGAACTATAGGAAGGGAAAGTACTAAGTTAAAACATTTCTCTTAAACTAACGGTGGGTCAACAATTGAGAGTCTGGTTAAGAAGTACAAATTTTGAAAAATTGTCTGCTGGTGAGATGGATAGAAAACTTCAAACCTAATGAGCTCAATGACAGCATAGGAATCCTTAAACATAATAGAGAAAAAACCAATCGCCAGGAGATTGATGGTGTAGGATAGAAATCCAGGCACAACGTTAGACATAGTAGTGACGAGATAAGGGATGAAAAATAATAATTTTTGGACATCAACAAAGAATACTCAGGGGTTGATGTCATGGTCTTGGAGAGTAATCTAATTGAGAATAATGGAACAGGCTGTATCTAGAGATTGGATAGGAAAATAAGGGGCTTTTCTAAGTGGCATTAATGTTGAGAAGAAGCCTGACTTGAGAGGCTGAAGGGTGGGTGAGAGGGTGTTCCGTTGCACAGCAATGGTGACAAGCTGGATGGTAGAGGCTGAGAGATGTGAGAACGGAGCTGCTCATAACTTTTTAGTTGTCAAGGGGGAATACGCGTAGGTGATGCTTCCGTTGAAGCCCCTTGGTGGCATCAATGTTATAGGAAGAAGTTGAGTCCTTTAGGTTAGGAATTTGGTTCTGGTTCCATGCTAAGAATTGAAAACAAAATCTCTAGTTTTGATTAAATTGGACAGGACAAGATTCTCCTTTTAATTTAGGTTAGGAATTTGGTTCTGGTTCCATGCTCGTAACTTTTTTTTGGCTTTTTGCTGCATTCTTGCTGCCTATTTGTGTTGTATGGTCCACTGATGTAAACAAATGTGCTGAACTGAAGTGCAAATTGTTCACTTTTTTGTATGCTTATAATTTTACTTATGTGCAGTGGTGGGATGAACGGATATCTATCCCTTTGTAATGGGGATCCATGTCCTCCAGTTTTTAGATCTCCTGTCGAGGGAATGAAAGATATAATGGACAATCAAGTCATGTAAGTTAGTTATGTAGTCTTTTATGTGCAGCAAGGTTGCTTTCATTCAAAGCAATTTATTAGTAATTTTACCTTTTTCAGATGTTCTATATACAAACTCCCGGATGCACATAAGCACTTTGCTCGGCCGCTTCCAGGGGTTATCTTCCCAGAAAAGGTATGCATCATCCTGAAAATTTAGGAATACCCTTTGCTTGTTTTGAATTGACACTTACCTTTTGATATACTTCTAATATACCTTTAAAGATCTTAGAAAAGTATATATACAAATATCCTCAAACTTTCGTGGTTATATCTTAGAAACTTTTTTTGGTATGCTATTATTTTTATGATTTAGGGTAAGTTAAATATCTGTAGAATCTCCAGTTTTCTCTGAGAAATTTTCTTTTTCTCCCATTCATATAGGTAATGGTAGAACTGAAAATTTTCCCTCGTTATTTCTTCCTTTTGATCGATCAGTTTGTACACATGTAACTGGCTGGTACTCATCTGCTTGAAACTCATCATCGTCAAGTTGTTAACCTTTGCCAGTTTAGTTCTTGAAAGTACTTCTCTTCCTTGATGTTGTTGACGGCCAGTGTGATAGGAGTCTGAGGATTACTTTCTTTTCCATATTTTTCACATTGTACTTTTCCCAACTTGCACTACCTTTTTGTTTCTTATCTTAGAATGCAAACTGCTGTATTACCAGGATATTGTTCCAGTCTATTTTTCTTTTTTATTTTAGTCACTCTGCAACTGTCACTGCTTCATTATTGACCTGTGCTCTGAAGAAGCATTCTTCCATCTCTTGAATTGGTTTAGAGCCTTCTTATTCTACTCATGTTTCCAGCGTTCCTGCTGGGAACATGGTATAGGTGGCTATAAACATCTGAAGGGCTCCTCTCCCTGCTACTTCTATCTCCAGCTTTATACTACACTTCATGCTTTCTGTAGTTTTTCGGACCATGAAGTATATAGATAATTGGTTTGTGGTATTGATAATGCAAGCTCAAAATTTTTTTTCTTTGTTTATCATAGCATAGATGTAGTTATTCTGAATGTGCTATAGATCTTTCACTGAGGGTGGGCAATATCAAATTTCTCACATCGTTCATTGGTTTACATGAGTCCTCACTTCTCTCTCTCTCTCATGTTTCTTTTGTAGACTGTTACCAGTGGTGATTTGAAGCTCCCGCCAGTTTTGTGGCATGAAGACACTGGCCGGAGGCCAATGGAAAATGGAAGGTACTGAGGATCAAACTGATAAGCTTACCTTATGTTAGGTAGCCCCAAATGATGTTACTTATTTCATTCATGTCAATTCTATTCAGCAGACAAAACCCCCCGGGAGCTATTTCAGGTCGACAACTTGGTGAAGTGGCCCATCGGCTTGTGAAGAACAGCCTTCAGATGCACAGAGAACGTAACATTGATGAGTCAAGATATCCTCCTCATCCATATCCTAATGGTAGACATCATCAGCTGAACCAGAGACCTCACCATGGAGCTAGCCACATGCAATGGCAACCTACTGCAGGAGTCCAAGTAAATTACAATCAGGCACGTTTCTTGTCAGCTTCTGCATCAAGACATTCACATTTTGAAAGAAATCAATACAACAGATCTCATAATAATAATCCCCACTATGGAAGAAGAGACCGACAACAAGACATTAGAAGCGTTAGAAGAGTTGGCCCAGCGCAGAGCTACCCTCAAAGTAACGCAAGAGTTGGCCCTGCGCAGAGCTACCAACAAAGTAACGGGTATACTGGTCATCCTCCACCACCACCCATTGTACAAATACCGGTAGCAGGTCCTCATGTTCAGCCAGTTGTACAAATACCTGTAGCTGGGCCATATGTCCAGAATGAACCTCGGGTTTATGGGGGATATCAAGGTTATGGAGCCCAGCAATGGCAGCCTTGGCATGGTTCTGGGAGAGGAGCACCATTAAGCGCTCAGCTTTCTCCTGTAGGTAGAAGTTATGGTAATAATAATAATCAACAAGGAAATAATCGGTTTTCATCTTTTTTGAATAGAAGCGGATCCAGCCGAGGACCTCCGGCAAGACATGGACATGGTCGATTCTAATAACATTGTTAGCATTGTTCATCTTGTTGTGTTGTATCATCCCATCTTAGTTTCATCATCATCGATTTAGTACATTTATTTGTATCCTAGATCCCAGCTTCAGTGTAATTGCATAACAGAGATAGTCCTTCAGAGATTGTACTTTATTTTTCTTCATGTTAATCTACTGACCTATGATAGTAGGGGGAGAAAACAAATGTATTTGTTTATTACTTGTTTACTTGCCGAGTAATCTACTGACCTATGATAGTAGGGGGAGAAAACAAATGTATTTGTTTATTACTTGTTTACTTGCCGAGTAATATCAAATGTTTCTTTCTCCTGGTCGTGAAACAAATGTATTTGTTTATTACTTGTTTACTTGCCGAGTAATATCAAATGTTTCTTTCTCCTGGTCGTTTATTCATTTGTGCTTCTTCTAGATAAATCTCTACCATCAGAAAGAGTTAAAATATATCTTTGGCATAGGGCTTCTTCTAGATAAATCTCTACCATCATAAAGAGTTAAAATATATCTTTGGCATGGGGCTTGCTTTCCAACTTGGTGACCCCATCGCTTCATAAGCACCAGCCAAGAGCCGGGAGAGGGTTTTCTTTGGCCCGTAGGCGTGGTAATGAACCTAATTTAATCGTATGCTATGGTGATCGGATTCGAATTCGGTTAGCTCTCTAGAATTTGAATTTGTCTAACAGGGAAAGAATATTATAAATATTGCTATTTGTAAGCAAATATTTGTTAAATGTTCACAAATATCTCATTACCACCCTTGGTAGGTCCTAAGATTCGAGAGCTTGCCGTCTTGACTTCAAGTATGTATTTCGCTGTTAGTATTATTATATTGTGCATTTATATACCTCAAAAATAGCAATATGTATTATATAATGCACACATAAAAGATAATACAATATAGTAACATAAAAGTAGAAAAGAACACTAATACAACACCTGTATGGAGGGATTTGGTTTGAGGAGGAATGGAGGGATTTGGTTTGAGGAGGAGGTAAGGGGATCAGGTTTGAGGAGGGACTCGTTGAGTTTTTGAGTAGATATATGACGATACCGATTAGAGTCGTGGCAGGATAAATACTAATACAACACCTGTAGGTGACAAAAACTGCAAACGGAATCAGCTTGGTATAACGAGGGCCCTCATCTAGCGTATTTTGGTCATTTAGCAAAGTCAATAAGCTCACATATTGTATAAAGGAAAGACATCTCAAGTCTAGGACAAAAATATGTTAAAAAAAGAGCTTAAAGGGACAAAAATCAACGTTGGCTGGCCCGGAACCAGGGGCGTGCATGAATGAAGAAAATATCATTCAAGGACCAAGAGAACCCACTTGATGTTGATTGTCGTTCCCAAAGTCTCCACTCCATTGGTGTTTGTGTGGTCAATGGAGTTAGGGGGTGTTTGTTTCAAAAAATCCTATAATTTTAGGATATGGATTTCATCATAGGATTTGAAATCCATAAGTAATTTGTTATGGGTTGGGATTCCTAAAACTTTGTTTGTTTCAACAATATTTTGGGATTTGGAATACTATAATTTGTAATATTTTTGTTTGTTTCAAATTTTTTAGAATTTAAAATCATTAATTTGTCTAACACTTTTGAAATCCACCCCACATCCCACCCAAAAAAGAGGATTTTACAAATCCTTAAATATAATATTTTTTATTATTTGGGGATTTGATATTCTAAAATTTGTTTTGAAACAAACAAGTTTTATGGAATTCTAAAACCCAAAAAACCCACTTTTTGATCCTAGAATTTAAAATCCCACCCAAATTTCCAATTTTTTTTGAAACAAACACCCCCTTAAACAATTTAGACCCTATCAACACATCTTTCCCAACCCTTGTTCAAAAATTGACAAAGACGCCAACTTCAACTTATCTAGACCCTATCAACACATCTTTCCCAACCCTTGTTCAAAAATTGACAAAGACGCCAACTTCAACTTATCACAACACCACCAAAGTTGACCATAAAACATACAGGTTAACCAGTAGATGTAAAGATAATTAATAAAAAAACAAGTAGAATCATAATATGCATTAGTAAAAGGTAACTACAAAACGTAAAAGTTAAATAGAAAACTTAAAAGTTAGCCAAATTGTAAATAGTAACCATAAAAAATTACTAGAAACATACTTTACTTAATTTTTATTGGTTAAATTTTGTCCGTTCTAGTTACCTAAGTGAATGTTGTTCTTATCATGATCGTATCCTCCATCAACCTTCACTCTCAACTACGCCTTCACCTCCTCCCAACCTTCACAATTTTCTTCCTTTACTCCTTTCTCTATCATGACCTTCCACTACAAGAAATTCGGTATTTAACGACCATAATTAGTGAAGGGACCAGTTGACCGTCATTAATATTCATATAATAATGACGGGTTTTAAAGCCTTCGTCGAGTGATTATAAATATTAGTAGAACGATGTGAGATGGGATAATGGCTTTCTAATCCCTTCATTGATTTGATCCTAATATCGTCGTTATTGGGTCTCCTTAAAGAAGAAGGGTTCCATTACCATCATTGATGACACTCCTAATCATAATAGGATTTATAGTAAAACCTATTACTATTAATTAACAAGACCTACAATCAAAATCCCCAAAGCCCCAAGTAAAACCCGAAACCCGAAATCCAAAATCCCCCATAACTTCTCCTAATCATCCCTCTAACCGCCAGTTGTAATATTAATTATAAACCCTAGCTATTGTAAAAAAAATATCGCATACGTACTATTCATCTTCATCAAACTCGCTAAACTGTTCTTCGTCACCTTTAAGACGTTGATCATCCCTAGCGTCGCCGATTGGCTCTAGCGTCGTCGGCGAACAACGTCGCCCGCCGCCTCCAGCAGTCGGCCAGCATGTACCCATCCTTCGCATGAGCGCTTTGCCCCGCGCGCTGCCTCGTCCAGCTGCATCCTAGCCCCAGCGTCGCCCGGTCCAAGCATGCTTGTAGTCCTAGCACCAGCCACGCGACGACTTGCGCCGCGCGTTGGTCGCATGCGCCGCCCCACCGCCGGTGTCGTTCGCCAGGACCACCACATCACCGCCCCCGCCCCGCCCCAGCCCCATCGTTTTGCCGCCATGTTCGGTAGCATACAGCGCAACCCTTATTTTGGTTAAATTGGGCACTCAACAGACTAAATTGTAGGCGTATAAAACTGCTATAGGTCGCTGAGCACGAGCTCAGCAACAGGTTGATTCGACACAATCAACGAAGCCATCGGTGAGCGACGAATATCTAAACGCGAGCGTTAGTTCCGTAATACCGGAAGCGAAGTTGACGACGCGACGAATTGGGATTAACGAGTGACGAGGCTATATACGAACCACACGCAAAACAACGGAAATAGATTCCACTCGCGTCAGGCAAAATCAAGCTAAACAGCTTGGTGACGTTCAAACGAGTCATCCAACCATGAACGGAATTTGAAGCTCAAACACCGAGGGCGAATTTACTGGCCATATTGGGATTCGGACTGTCAAACTGCCGAGTCGCGGTCACAAACGAAAGCGCAAACTGGACAACGGACAACAACACAGTACTACGACACCCTAGAGGACTCGAGTTTACCAAAGCAGAGCCACCCTGAGGTGGCTGGTGGCCGAGCCACCTCTAGGTTGGCGCCCAGATTGTGGCCAACAGGCCACAGACTGAGACCTATAAATAGAGGCTTGAGCATCATTTTGGGAGCGTTGGAACTTCTAGAGCCGAAACTGCGGAATTGACGAACTGAGCTGGAGTTTTGAAGAACTTGAAGAACTTGGACATTCAGAATGGTTCTTGGCTGAGCATCCCACGTCACAAAAGGCAGGAGTTCGAGAGAGAGAAATCAGATCTGAGATCGTACACGAATAATACCCGAGATCAAAGGTGTCGCCTTTGATCCCGCAGAACTAAAAAGACTATTATATTTCTCTTGCGAAATTAGTACCCCGGCTAGTTAATTTCGCTTAGTGAGATAACACCCGTCAAATTGTGTAGATCCGACCGGATCTAGATCGCGCGGTGGTCCACGGATTAACCCCGGCGTTGGCAAAGAACCCACAAAAGCGAGTGACCGCTGTTCGCGGTGAAAATGGTGTCTTTCTTCATTGTTGATTCCATTGTCATCTTAAATAACAACTTTTTGAGTTACAAAGATCCGGTCTTTTTATAAGATCCGGTTACAATGAAAATCAAAAAAAATAAAAAAAGATTACAACTTTCTCATTATTTGTCGAACAAATCACGAGCTCCTGTTTTGCGGTCGCTCGCTTGCATGGGTTGTTTGCCTGCGCCGGGGTTTATCCGTGGACCACCGCGAGATCTAGATCCGGTCGGATCTACACAGTACGACGAGTATTATTTCGCTAAGAAAATAATAGCCGAGGGTACTATTTCGCCAAGGAAATAGTAGCCTTTAATTCTCGGGATCAAAGACCAAGCTTTGATCCGGAGTATGCCTGCGTAGATCTGAGATCCGATCCTCTCGAACTCTTGCCTTATTTGGCGTTGACGATCGTCGAGCACCAGATCTGGGAGAGCAAGTCCTCGAAGTCCTAAAGCTTGGATCTTTTTTAGATCTGAGTCTTCAATCCAGCAGGGCTTCGCCTCTCCAAATTTTCCAACCTTTGACAAATGAGCCTAGGCCTCCTCTTTATAGGCTCTCTGAACTGTGCCCGCGCACAGATCTGGGCCGGCCACCTATAGGTGGGCGGGCCGGCCACCGAGCCACCTATGGGTGGCTCGGCCACCGAGGTGGCTCGGTTTTGGCCGAGTCCCCTAGGTGTTGTGGTTTTTTGCCATTTTGTCCGGTCTCGTGGTTGATTCGGACTCTGATTTGTTGATCTAATTTGGTAGTAAATCCATTTCTGAATTCGAATCCGAAACTGATCTTGATTCGATCGTAATTCGTCCGAGTCCGCCCTTGGTTGGATGACTCGTTGACTCTTCAACCCGTTAGCTTGATTCCGCACGCGAGTGGATTTATTCCGTTGTTTGCGTGCGGTTCATTAGCTTCGTAGCCTCGTTAATTCGCTTCGTTGCGTGTCACTTGGCTTCGGCGTTGTGGACTGACGCTCGTGTTTGGATACGTCGCCCGATGGTTCGTCGGTTTGTGCCGAGCTGTGTTAAGGGACCTATAAGCAATTTTATACGCCTACAGATACCCCCTCCAAAGTATTTCAGTCTCGTTCTTTTATAGAAGAGTCTGG